ATCGAAACATCTTGGGTTAAAAAAAAGTACGACGTCTTTCTTGATGAATTTCATCTTGAAATCAAGAAACTGATTACACAACTGGAAAGGATCAATATAAAAATAAGTAGACACAATATGTTTATACTATTCAATGATATATATATATATATTATTTTTTTAAAATATGATTCCATCGCTACATAGGAATTGCCATGTTTCAAAAATAGAAACTAAAAACTTCCAATTCAGTTATAGAAATTAAATTAAACTAAAGTACCTAGTTCTGTTTCATCCTCAAGCGAATTTTGGAATAACTAATTTTGAAATTTACGGAGCTTTATAAGCATATACATTTGTAATATTAGTTTCTATGGAAACGAAGAAAACCAACCATTTTAATAAGGGCCGGTAGGGTAATCATTATCATTGACAACTATTGTATCAACATATTAGTTACCTTACTAGTTTGTTGATATCATAATATAGGCTCTACTTCTGTATAGAGCACTGTTTTTGTTTTTTTAAATAAAATCAAAACTACTAAAGAACTTCGGAATAGTAACCTAACGGTTCTTTCATATTTTTCAACATATTTTCACAGATATATATATATATATATTATAATAATAGTTTTAGTTAAAAAATATTTTACATCGCTACAAAAAATCTTCTATGTTTCGGAACTTAACATTTTTTTCATCATCAGGCGAAGTTACGTAACTTATGATGAAAATGATTTGTGAAATAAGAAAACTTTCTCAGGATTGATCCATCTGGAAATCCTAACTAATTCTACAACCTACCATCATGGATAAGTTCTGTCCGGGGTACTCTCTGAAAAACATGTCACGCCCTTCTTTATACTCATTCAATCTGTCTCACATGGATAAAATTATTGACTTTGTAAAAAGATTACGATAGAAAACGCATTTCTATCTCAACCCTCCTGAAACACCAGATCACAAATACAAAACCTACAATCTAAAGACCCCACTCCCAGAAAACTCCCCCTTTGCTGCAAACTCCTGCATCCTTTTGAAAGAAACCTGCTTAACCTAGTTAAAAAAAATGAAATTCAGTAAGCTGTCCCGCCAATTTCTGGAAAAGTTAAACAAGGACATAAAAAATATTAAAAATTTTAAAGACATTTGGGTTAGTGTTATGATTCGGTTCTTTGTACCACGGTGTTAGTCCAAGGTAGAACCAATAAAGAAGAACTCGAATACGGATATGGAATAACACAGATATATTACAAACAGGAATATATACAGAGAGGTAGAAGTGTTAGTACGAACAATCAGGTTTAGTAGTAATTGTCTGAACGCGGACTGCCTCTGACTCGACTGACTGACTCGCTCGCTCTGACTGACTGACAGACTCCTGACGGACTTCACTCCAGACTTCAGAATGAACGGTATTTATTCACCACCCCCCCACGAGGGCATCATGCGGCACAAGGCCGGTTTAACGTGGGATCTCCGAGCTCGTGGGATCTCCGAGTCCCTGGACTCGGACAAAAATATACCCTTTGAACCCGTATAAACAGGTACAGGGTCAGTTTACCTCCTCGTTCAGGTTCCTCCCCGCCCGAAGGGAGAGAGTTCAACCGATCAGCCGGTCGCCCGACTTCAGACTGAACTCCCTGCTTCCTCTTGAGGCGCAGTATTTATTACGTATGGAATAGTTCATTATGTTATTATGGGTAAGGTCCCATAAAAGTTAGAACAGACAAATCTCCCAAAATTTATAGATGCAACCTCTCAAACTACTATAAAATTCTCATTAATAAAATAACAGACACCTATAAACTAGATAGATATCAGAGTGGGATCTTTGAGATCGACAATAATTTAAACATTACGGATAGAGTGGGGAAGATTCATACCAAAGATGCTTATATTTCATTTAAGGATAACAAATCGTAATTAATCCTTGAAGATGATCTTCTAAAAGATCGAAAAAACTTGGTTTGAAAAAAACTACGGCGCCTTCCTTAAAGAATTTCATTTTAACATCAAGAAACTGATTAGAGAACTGGAAAGGGTCAGTATAAAAATAAATAAACACAATATATTTATATAATTCAGTGAAACATTTGAATGAAGATATGCGGCCATATATATATATTGGCTGTATATCTTCATTCAAATATATGAGTAATCAAACTCTGCGATATATATATATATATATATATATATATATATATATATATATATATATATATCGCAGACTTTGGATTACAATGCAAGAATGCAAGTCAAAGGTTGGCCATCACAAGAACTCACAAGCATTTGATATGATATTTAAGATCCTCATGGCATGCTTTCTCAGAGTAAAGCTCGAAATTTCAGCATATAGTTCAAACCTGTGGAATGCCAAAACATACACAGTCGAAACGTTGTGATAAAATAAAAAATAAAAACGTGGGGATTTCAGACCGGCAAAAACTAAATACTTTACTGAAGAAAAAAAATAAGACGATGAATTTCCTTATTATTGTGATACAAAAAAGTTTCGTCAGCTTTTGGCGTCCGTCTGCAAACTCAGATTTCAAGATGGCTTCCCATTTTTGTAACTCTAAGGACTCGATTCTGTGTGCATGCGTTTCTGTGTTTTTCTTTCTTTCTTTTCTTTTTTTTTTTTATTCCGAGAAGCAGCATTTCTGAGATCTGAGGTAGGTATAAACTCAGGATACAACCGTCCAGTCAGGCTGTCGGGATTAATTAAACGTGTGCTGTAAAACGGCATCGAAAGTTCAAATATTAAACTTCACATCTCACATACTTGAATGAATTAAAAATCGCTGTGCCTTTTCTACAATATGTTTAAAGATTCTTGACATAATCCAAAGAAAAAATCTGCAATGTTATTGATCCTGAACTGGCATCTCGGCTTCAATCCCTTTCCCGCTGATGTAATGTACATTCCCTTTTCCTTTTTCTACATATACTTTCATAATAATTGTTCGGAGGAGCTCTTCGCTATGGTACCTAGAATTTATGAATATAAGCGCTGTACTAGACTGGCGAAAAGGTCTCATCAATTTACAATTGAGTCGGCTAGATGTAACCGCAAGTTCTATGCTAACAGTTTCTTTTCTCGCACTTCTCGCTTGTGGATCTCCCTTCCGCTTCTATGATTTCCAGTCAACTTTAATCTTCAAAAATTTAAATGCAATGTCAATCGCTATCTACTGTCCTCCTGGTTACTCTCCTTTTGTTCTCCCTCCTTAGTAATGTTTCGTTTTTCTAATTCTTCCCACACCGAATAAGGCTATGTGTGTTAGTGGCTTTAATGCCTTGCCTGGGGTGAAACTGATTAAAAAATGTTCATTGAAAATGTCAGAGTGATATTTCTGAAGGAACCAGAAGGAAATTAGTATACAACAGAAATCAAAGGAAATAATAATAATAATAATAATAATAATAATAATAATAATAATAATAATCTCATGGCTTCTGATCTGAATTCATTGTAGATCAATAATTATTAATATAATAATAATAATAATAATATTTCAATAATAATAATAATAATAGGTAGAGTAAAAAACGGTATTTGAAAATACAAAAAAAAAATCACCTTGGAACTGTGAAAAATAGTATGAAGATTTCGATTTTGCACGAAAAACCATGTCAAAAACGAAAATATATATTCAATGAATAAAATATTTGATGAAGAATTGAGACAGTCCTGATCATAGCGTTGCTGGATTCTACGAAGAAACAGTGTAAAGTGCAAGAGACTTCCTTTCTCTAAACCAACAGCGATAACCATCTTGTACGAACATGTAATATGCATAAAATAATAATAATAATAATGGCCAGGTAAGAGATTGTATTAAACAGAAAGCAAAACAAGAAGATAATAATAATAATAATTATAATTATAATAATAATAATAATAATCTCATGACTTCTGATCTTAATTCATTGTAGATCAATAATTATTAATAATTATAATAATAATAATAATAATAATAATAATAATAATAATAATAATAATATAGGAATCAGCACAATTGCCACTTTCTAAAGAAATCGTTACATTTCTCCTGGAATATGGAATGGCATTCACTTACATAGCAAAACAGGCTTTTCCCTTCGTATGATTGTTTTTAAAGTACAGTTATCATAAAAAAAACATGCAATTTTTAGTGTTATATATATATATATATATATGTGTGTGTGTGTGTGTGTGTGTGTGTGTGTGTGTGTGTGTGTGTGTGTGTCTGTGAGTGTGTGTGTGTGTATTAATCAAGATCACCCCAAATGATCACACTTAAAATTGCATTTTTTTCATCGGTGTACTTCAAAAAACAATCATGCGAAAGGAAAAGCCTGTTTCGCTATGCTAGTCAATGCCATCACAAATTCTAAGAGAAATTTCACGATTTCTTCAGAAGGTGGCAATTGTGCTAATTCCCATATATATATATATATATATATATATATATATATATATATATATATATATATATGTAAAGTTTTCGAAGAAAGCAATAACATGAAAATGTCTTTAAATCACTGTCAGAATTCTTGAAAGATATATATATATATATATATATATATATATATATATATATATATATATATATACCGAATTCTGACAGTGATTTAAAGACATTTTCATGTTATTTCTTACAGAAATGAAACATCTTTATCGTAAATTTTGTATACTGTAGTTACCTAAACATCCAACAGGATTATTTTTAGTATGCGTGATAGAAAAATTGGCAGGAGGGGGACATGAGTAATGATGCTGTTAGTTAACTAATAATATCCTTTATGCCATAACTAAAACTCGCACTATTAGTATCATTCAACTACCAAGTTATGATACTAAGATACCAAAGTTATGACTATTACTACTGTGGACGTTATCATCTTACCAACTTTTTAATGTCAATAAAGAAGATTAGTTCCAAAGTTATCGATGGCTGTGCTAGCAGGAAGTCCTAAGTCATCGTGACGGAGACTGCACTGACTTTGTTCACACTGCTGATCACGGCAAATTAGTCTTTCTCTCTCTCTCTCTCTCTTTCTCCCCCCCCCTCTCTCTCTCTCTCTCTCTCTCTCTCTCTCTCTCTCTCTCTCTCTCTCTCTCTCTCAAACTGTAAATAAGGTTCATTCATCTTACGGTATAAAACAGAGGCGTTGATCAAAGATATATATGCCTGAACAAATGTCTGCAACAAGGATTGGTTAGCCGTACTTGAAGACTTGTTTTCTCGGAAACATGGATAAATAGATAGATAATAATATAGGGGAGTCATAGATAGTCTTTAGATGCCTATCTAAAATAAGCTTTGGAGGAAAGCTCTGTAAAAAAACGAAAATACTTTTGACACAGCCTCATATATAATAATAATACTATTAATAATGAAGTGGATGGGTCCGCTCAGTACAAATCAAAAGTGAGATCTATGGCTTTTGAACAAACACCAATGTGCCTGAACAAGCATCTGCGACAGGGATGGCCGCCCTTGCAGACTTGTGTGCTCGGAAACGTGTACACAGTCAGATAGATAGGAACAGACTGAGATAGATAGATAGATAGATAGATAGATAGATAGATAGATAGATAGATAGATAGATAGGAACAGACTGAGATAGATAGATAGATAGATAGATAGATAGATAGATAGATAGATAGATAGATAGATAGATAATAATATTAGTGGTGCAGAAGAGTCATCGATAGTCGTTAAATGTGTACATAAAATTAGCTTTGAAGGAAAGCTCTGTAAAAAACGAAACATTTTTGATAAGCTAATACATAACAATAATAATAATAATAACGAGGTCTACAATGGATAATCTTTGGTGTAAAAGTCTATATAAATGAAAATTCATTTGATAAAACGTAATCTATATAATAAATGCGAATATCAGTGTGTCACACTTTTTCAACTTTACTCCTAGAGTGCGTAGACCAACATATCATACCATTTTGGAATCAGACCGACTCCGTGAGCAAATTAAGAAATATTCCGGGCCGGATTCGAACCCGAAATCCTGACATTTTGGATTCCCAAGTTTTCATTACTGCGATTGTTTTCGGCAATTTTTTCCGTGATTTTTTGCGACAATTTTTTTGTAGGATAAAAGTTTTTATAACTTAGAAATAAATTTGGGAATAATTGAAATCAATTGCGAAATCCAGCGAAAGTCACCCATGAAATAGAAATAATTGTTTGTACGGTAAGTATAAACAATACCTACGTCTTAAGTGGCGGCAAAAGAATTATCGCTGAACTTTTAAAAGATAAGCATAAATATTAATGCAATACTTAAATGCAGCGATCAATTTTGAGTTCTTCTGTAGTTTATTGTTGCCTATCGCATATGACAGCAGTATGCGTGGCAAAAAGAAATCTCCGCCAACAGAGAACCAGATTGCAATCAAAAGAGCCAAGTCTGCAGCGAGGGAATGAAAGTCCCGTGTAAATGAAAACCCAGATCAAACGTCCAATACTGAAAATATACAAAGACTTTGGGACTCTCAAACTCCTGAACAACTAGAAGCCGAAATGAGAACCCTGCAAAGGAGTTAGCTTAATTACCATTCAATAGGGCGACTTTTAAGCTAGTGTATAATAAAAAAAATTTTAATAATTTTTACGGACAGGTAGAGGAAGCTTTACTTTGGATTTCTTTATGTGGTTTCTTAATAAACTGAGGCATTTCGTAATGGGTATATTAATGTGTAAATATTTGATATCTAAGCTAACTAATAACCTTGTTTTCCAAGTTTGTTTCGTATCCGGTGGCCTAAATCACCAGAGTTTTTGATGTATGTTGGGTTCATGGCGCCCAAGAACGGAGTTAGGATTTTTACAATTGCTTTATCTAATTGCTGGGGTACACTATTGATACCAGACACAATGGGACTGTTGGGTCTGTGAGATTTGGGTCCCAACACTCATTAAACATTCTGTTAACTTAATCCAGAGGGAAGGAAATATACACATTGAAAACAAGATTATGGTTTATCTTAGAAATTATTCTACTCTAATATACCCGTTAGAAAATGACTCAAGAAATCAGCTCAGAAAATTCCAATGAAAAACTTGTCTGTAGCTGAATGGTACAGCACGTCAGATCAAATGACAGTTTCCGTAAATGAAGGTTTTCGATTCCTGTCGGAGAATACATATTTTCTACGAAATTTCTCGAATATTCAAGCCGGTAAATGTAATTAAAACAAAAATCAAAAACACAAATATATATTTATATAAATATAAAATCAAGACAGAGAATTTGTTTAAATAAATTGTATCTATAAAAATAACATATAAACAGAAAATATAGGAAATAATTGTCGAACTTATTCCATTTCATTAAACGGTGTCATTGTTTACGTTAAGATACGTTTCGGAAGCAGATATGATCGATCGAGAAAAATCATCGAAGATTGTGTTTAAAAACAATAATTTGGACTTTGCTAACCAAACACTTTCCTGTAGCTGAATGGTACAGCGCGTCAGATCAAATGATGGTTTCCGCATTCAGGTTCGATTCCTGTCGCAGAACGCGTGTTTTCCACGAAATTTCTCGAATATTGACATCGGTAAATGTAATTAATACAGATTAATTTAAAAAAAACAGTGCATTTACTTAAATAAATAAACGTATTATAAAAATAACGTATAAACAGAAAATATATTAAATAATTGTCGGACTTAATCCATATATATATATATATATATATATTGATTTACTAAGCTTACTAAGCGTAGCTTTTGATGTGACATAAGACCGAAAGTATGGGACAACCAGTGAGGATCGAACTCACTATTCAGTAGTAATTGATCTAGCGAGGTAAACTTGTTAACCATTACACCATGTCGAATTGCCCAGAATGATTTTATAAGCGTTGTCTTAGATGTAGTACAAGGCCGAAAGTATGGAGCACCCACTGAGGATCGAACTCACTATTCAGTCGTAATTGATCTAGCTAGTCAAGGTTGCTAACCATGACACCACGTCGAAGTGCACCACATCTATATATACCGTATTTTCCGGCATACAAGACGCACATTTTTCAGAAAAAAAGTGCGTCTTTCCAGACGAATGTAAGGCAACGCCCAGGATCAAGTAAGCTTGGACGGTCACCTATTTGGCTTGACTGATAAGGACGTGGATTTGTATGTTGAGTCATTACTCTATAATGTTAGCTGTCTAATTCCGATTTTTATATAATGTAATCTCAGTACTTTAGCTGTTACATGTATTTCCAGGACTATAAACCTTCATGGAGCCGAGCCACAAGCTTAAACATGCTTTGTCTACAAGCAGCGGCGGGAATCTTTCTGCTCTTGACTAGTATGTCATTGAAATACAAACAAAATCGGACGGGTGATTAATGTAGACGATACGTGGCGCCAGTACAATGTGTCCATAAAGTTCGTGTGCACTTTAAAAAATTTGTAACTTTATTTCTATTTGCGATAGAAATAATCTGTAAAAATGTTATAAAGTTTAATGTAGCTAGTTTTAAGTATAATTAAAATAAATAATGTGATTTCAGACATTACTGTAAATCAGTTGGCAAATGTTTTCCATGAACTGCAAAATCGTATTACCCTTTGTATTACAAATGATGGAGAACATGTGGAAACTTAAATAAAATTTCAATAAAACCTTAAAAAATATAGATTTACTTCTTTCTAATCCTTTTTTTACAAATTATTTCTATCGCAAATACAAATAAAGTTATAATTTTTTAAAGTGCACACGAACTTTATGGACACCTTGTTTGTGAGGGACGTATGGTGAATGTGCTTGTTGTATGAGAACGACATTTTTTTTCTTGGAAATTTCTTTCCAATATTAGAGTGCGTCTTCCAAGCCGCAACGTCTTGTAAGCTGAAAAATACGGTATATAATAATAATAATAATAATAATAATAATAATATAGTGGATCCTAAAAAGCCATGCTAGATGAAATAGCAAGCTTCTGTGCTAATGGGACATCTTTATTACGGGATTCACATATTCACTTAAGATAGCCATATCCTTTCCATATTGAATATATTTCAAGATAGACGATCAAAACGAGCGAGCAATATGAATACAGAAAGATGTATATCTATACCAGATTACACAAAGACATTTGATAGTGTACGACTTGAATAACTACTTGAAATACTATAAAAGCTTGATTTACACGAGAAAGAGTTTATACAAAAGAATAAAAAGACCATCTGACTCAACTTTGCTGTGTAGTTGCTACTGTGCATGTATATGTCTGTGTGTGTTCTGAGCAGACAGATGTGTACTGTGTGATCTGGGATTACATCAGAGAATGTCAACTTGTGTTACAATAGGGTGTTTTCCTTGGAGTGAACAACAGTTTTTATCAAGACCATCTGACTCAACTTTGCTAATGTGTAGTTGCTACTGTGACATAACAAAGAACAGAGTGCACATTTGCATGCTATTTAACTAAGGTGTCTTCTTTGAGGACATACAAAAGGTATTTTTTTTACAATAATGTTCACTCTGTACTAAGCCCAAGAACCACTCAAGGTAGCAGGTTACAGAATAAGAAGTAAGAGGCACCATTTATGGGGATATGTGAAGATAACGGTTAACCTTAGACTTGAACAGGTTAGGAATGTGGTGATCAGGGAAGCATCCTCTTGGGAGTTGGTTCCATAAAACAGTGGTTCATAGGAAGAAGTTTAAGTGGTACATCTCACTAGTGGAATACAAAGAAACAAGGTGGGGTTTGCTACAATGTGTGTGGCAGGGTGGATTTTAGCTGTGATGGTTAGAAATGGTGGAACTAAGAAATATAGTTCATCTGAGCACTTTCCATGGAAATAGTGAGATAGGGTAGCAAGAGGCTTGCTAGGTTTCATCTGTGAGAAAGGGCTTTTCAGTTGGAAAATAATTCTTCACCCTCAAGAACATTGAGATGCTTTTTGACTATTGACACTGGAAAATGAAGACTAGGTAACTCCTGCCCATATATGGCAGTAGTACTCCATTTACTCCATGTACTCCATACAAAGAAACAAGGCGGGGTTTGCTATAATGTGTGTGGCAGGGTGAATTTTAGCCGTGAAGGTTAGAAATGGTGGAACTAAGAAATGTAGTTCATCTGAGCACT